TGAGACAAAGTCTCATTATGTCACCCTTGGTAGAGTATTGTGGCGTCACAGCTCACAGCAACCTCAAACTCTTGGGCTTAAGTGATTCTCTCGCCTCAGCCTCCTAAGTAGCTGGGACTACAGGTGCCCACCTCAACACCTATTTTTTTGTTGTTGCAGTTGTCATTGTTGATTTTAGCTGGCCCAGGCCAGGTTCGAAACCACTAGCCTTGGTTTATGTGGCTGGCGGCCCTACCAACTGAGCTACAGGCACTGCCCAGTCCTTCCCTCCTTTTCCCAACACCCCACTGCAGACTAGGTGACACGTGGTGTTAAGATGCATGTAACTAAGCAGGACATGTCCAGGTTAGGAGGCTCATTAGTTTTATAGGGAAGCAGTAATGGTGGGAAAAAGGATAGATGCAAGGCCAAAGACCTAAGAGAGGGGCACAGGGTGGTCTGATGTCCTGCAGGAGCTACGTCAGAGCACTTAGGAGGCTCCTGCCTGTGTCCCAGCACTTTGAGAAGGCGAGGTGGGAGGAGCCCTTGAGTTCAGAAGTTTGAGACCAGCCTGAGCAAGAACAAGATCCTGTTTCCACTAAAAGTAGAAAAACTAGCTGGGCATGGTGAGCACTTATAGTTCCAGCTACTCAGGAGGCTGAGGCCAGAGGATCACTTGAGCCCTGGAGTTTGAAGTTGCTATGAGCTGGGCTGACTCCTGGCACTCTAGCCTGAGCGACAGACAGAGTGAGATTCTGTCTCAATGAACAACAAAGAATACAACCAGTATTCTGATCCAGTATGAGCCCGCAGGGACTCAGAGTCTCAGGGACTCTGGTTTCCACTTTAAACCAGAGGGTGCATAGGGATAGAGAGAGAGGGCCCAGAGAAAGAGTCTTCAGGGGTAGTGCCTGTGGCTCAAGGAGTACGGCACTAGCCCCATATACCGGAGGTGGGGGGGTTCAAACCCTGCCCTAGTCAAAAACTGCGAAAAAAAAAGAGTCATCAGGACGTAAGAGCTCAGGGCCACTAAAAAGACGACACCACTCTGACAAGATTTAGGGGCCACTGGGGAGTGCAGGGCAGCATCCATGGCAGCCTGCAAGCCAGAGGGAGCAGAGACATCCCTGGGGAAGGGCTGTCCTCTGCACCACTGTCACAAATGACTCACTTAACAGAGGCTCCTAGGTACAACCCAAGCCTCCTACAGGACCCCGGGTTACTACAAGCATTTAGCATTAAACCCACAAAAAACAGGCAGGTGTCAGGCTGAGGGCTCAGAGAGGGACCCCATCTTGCATGCTCCCACCATCAAACCAAGGGCCCCAGCCAAGTGCAAGGGCCCAGTAAAGTGGGCCAAGGGGGTATCCTAGAGCACAGATGAGGACAGGCTCAGCCCCCAGGACCCGTGGGCAGAGGGCAGGGCCCCCTCCAGGGAGCTGCCCACCCTCGGCTTCAACATCACCTGGCACCCTGCTCAACAGCTTGTCCCCCAAAGGACTTAGCATGGGGCCCTGGCAACAATGAGGAGGTCAGGTGGCCTGTGCAGGCTGGTGCCTCTGCTTGCTAACCCTAAAGCCAGCACTGGATGCTTTTCCAGAAAGCTGAGGAAATAGGGATGAAGCCAGTCATGACATCTGGCCCCGGAGTGAAGCTAGAAGGGTGGTTTGGTGCCGAGGGGCTGCCAGTGCTGCCTGCCTGCAGGTGAGAGGCTGCAGCCTTGTCACTCACCCCATCTGGTTTGGCCACGACAGAGCGAGAACAAGGATGGAGGTGGGCTATGCTGAGGGCCCCAGAAAGACCTGTAATGTCCTGTCTCATGTGACAGGAACTACTATAAATAAAGGACCATTTAAAATTCTCTAGGTTTAACCATAAAAGAAACAAGACTTTTCTGTTCATGGAGAACACGTGCCTTTTAACCTGTGATTTCCATAAATGTCAGTGACACGGCCACATGAGGACCCAAGGAGACATACTAAGAAATCTAGGCTGGGCTCTTCAGGGACCTCTCTTAAAAACCAAAAATAGAGCAGCCATAGATGTGCCTCTGCAAAGGGGACACATGCGCTGGGGCTCAGAACAAGTCCCCTTACCACTCCCCCCCCCCCAATTGTCCAGAGAGGCTCCTAACCAGGGCTGGCTATCTCCATGCCAGCTGCACTGGCACTCCTGCAGCTTGTCACTGAGTACCTCATGTGAGAGCTCAGGCACCCCTTCAGTTCCACTGCAGGGCAATAACTCTCCAGGTTTGGCCCTAACCCTGATGCTGTGAATGCACTGGATGCTTCTGTGTCTGAAGCTCCCCCAGAGAGAAAGAGCTTCCCATGGACTCAGCCATGGCCACCCTCGGGACACTCACAAAACGCTGTCCTCTTCCTTCCTGCCACACCACAAAGCTGAAGCTGCAGGCCTGGGAGGGAGCTGAGATCTGTGCACACCCTGAGTGGGCAAGGGAGGGGCCCTCTTGGTCTGCAGGTGAGGGATGCTGGCATGGGACTGATCTCACCTGGTGGGCCTCTGCCAAGAGAAGGTTTCATGAAAGATGGAGGGAGGGCAGAGTTGAAACCAAAAGCAATGACCAGAAGTGGAGAACCCACAGCTTGGGGACCAAAGGAAAATGCTGGCCTTCATCAATGCAGTTGCCCTCACAGCCACTGCCCAGGCTCACCTTCCCTCTGGGCACCCAGTTAGGGCCTCCACCTGCCTCCTGTCCGAAGGGACCCTCAGGAGCTGATCCAGATCCAGGTTTCTGCTTTGGACATACCATCTGGCCCCAAGCCCCCACCCCGCCACCAGCCCCATCTGCCCCAGGTGGAGAGAGCTGCCAGTGTTCCCTAAGGCTGGGGAGGGCACATCTCTACACAAAGACCAAATTTAACTCAATCAAGACAAAGCTGGGCACCACAGCCTGTCTCAGATAGCTGAAGGCAGGCTTCTAACCAGAAGCAAACTCAAGAGTGGAGAGCAGAAGCAAGGGACGTTGTGCCCCACCCCCAGCAGGTGGTGCCTGTCAGAAGGGTCTCACTGCACCCTGTGGGGGAAGAAAGGACAGCCAGACCCCCACCCTGCTGTGCCATCTCCTAGCAGACATGGTGATCAGTGAGCAGGTGCCAGGCTCACCTTAACCCTACT